TTGGTTTAGCTTTTGACCATCAGTTCAACTCAGGGAGGAATTCAAGAACTCAGGCTTCTGGGTCTGGGCACTTGATCTTCCAGGCTTTTAAGGAGTTTGAACTTACCACACTGGGAGCAAGACGGCCCTGTGCAGCCTGAGAGTAGTTTCCTGTGCTATGCAGCATCTTATCACGCACATGCAGGCACTAGCACTGTCCCAGCCTGGGGGAACTCCCTGTACTGGGCCTCCCCCGCTGACCCCAAAGCTGGAAACAATGGAAGTCAGGGCAGTGCTTCCTCACTCTCTCCAGCTGGGCTGGGCTTCCTTCCCGCTGACTGCTTCAGGAAGTTCCCTGCCCTGGGATAGTCTGGCAGCTTTTGTTTTCCCAGGGGTCCTACCCTTGGAGGCCTCTGTCCTTCATGAAGTCAGCACAATGGATCCTTCCTCCCCATGTCCTGGATTCTAGTCCTCAGGGCCTGACTCCAGGATATGTACCCTCTTCTCTCAGGCCCCTTGGTGCCCTTCTGTTAGGGTATGAATCCCTGGGGACTGGAAAGGGGGCTCGGTGATTTGAGAGTAGACAGATTCGTCTGTACCTCTGGTGGTGTCTGTTGGAACACTGTCGCAGTCTTTTCTGGAACCAGCCACATTACAAGTCCCCGCCCCCAATAGGAATAGACCTCCTTACCCCTGTTGTAAGAGATCAGATTCTAAAACCCCATAGGGGGGGAGAAAAACCCAGGGGCCAGGGAGATAGCTCAGTAGAAAAAGCACTTGCAGGGCCAGGGAGATGGCTCTAGACTAAGCGCTTGCATAGCAAGCGCAAGGGCCTGAGTTCAATCCCCTGTTCTACAAAAAAAAAAAAAAAATTAAAATTTAAAGAAAAAAGAAAAAGCACTTGCCTGGCAAGCACTATGTCCTGAGTTTAATCCCCAGTACTGCAAAAATAAACAAATAAAGCTTAAAAAAAAAATCCCACAGGAAAGTATCTTGCAGACCCTTCTAGGCCCTGCTCGCCCCCATCCTACAGTCATACTCTTTAGCACATTGTATTGTCACTCTTGGGGTGCTTCCACTCAGCTCTTAGCCCCCCTAGGGGCTGGGGAGATGGCTCAGAATTAGCGCTTCCCTAGCAAGCACAAGGGTCTGAGTTCCCTGGTTACAAGAAAAAAAAAAAAAAAAAAAAACTTCTGTTCCCTCTCAAGGTGGTTCCCTTTAGCACCTGCTGTATGTGACCATCAGCCCAAACACCCCCAAATAAGGATGGGCCCCAATCCCAAGGGAAAGTTACGGGAAGAGGTTCTTCAGTGTTGAGGGAGTTACAGGCATGGGGAAAGCTGACACCTGAGCCCACAACCCTCCTATTGATATAGGGGAATGAAACTCCCAACCTGAAATGTACCTGGGATGAGTTCGTGTTCCCTAAAACTGAAGAATGAATTTTAGGAATAAACAGAAGTTAAGAGCAGAATATTTATTGGGCAAAAAAAAGCTGCCCAAGGAAGGAACAGAAGAGGGACCCAAGCAGGTTGCCCCCAGGAATCTGCCATTTCTAGGGACTTTTATAGAATAAAACCATGCAGTGAGGTGGGGTGTATGGTGGAGAACATGGGAACTCGTTTAGGTGGGCATGAGGTAGGACAAAGCTATGGTCAACCAGTAAGGTTACAAGCACCATTGCTCAAGTAAAATTGATTAAATTCAGGATCAAATTGGGAAGCAAGTCACATAGTAAGAGGGCACATACATAGAACAGGAGTTTATTTGGTGGCCAGCAATAGTGGTTTGATTAGTGACTTCCTGGCTTCCTCAAGGTGAAGATCAATCCTGGATGCTTATCTTTAGGGATGTAAGCATTTTTTTTTTTTTTTTTTGGGTAAGCATTTTTTTAAAAATATTTTTTTGAATGTGTTGGGGCCGGGGAGATGGCTCAGTGGAATAAGCGCTTCCCTGGCAAGCGTGAGGACCTGAGTTCAATCCCTGGTTCCACAAAAGAAAAAAAAAAAAGGTGTTTAGTATAGGATCTATAGGGTCTCACTACACAGACTGGACTTGTAATGATCCTCCTTAGGTAAGCATTTTTCAATCTTTGGTCTTTAGGTTTGGCCCACAGCAGAAGCATGTCTTTCTTATAGTGGCAGGGTATTTCTTCTGTGCTATCTCCTTGAGGGTCTGGCCCTGTCTGACTGCCTATAATATTTCTATCTAATTCAGCTGCCTACAACAATTTGAATCCCCAAAAGACCACTCCCTGCCCCCCCATCCTACTGGACTTGATGATGGGCCCCAATCCCTAGGGGAAGAGATTCCCCAGTGTTGAGGGAATATGGGCAGGGAGGAAGCTGACACCTGAGCACACGTCCATAGCCTCCTATCACCCCGAACAGCTGGGCTAGTTACTATTCAGATGAAAGGTGGGAAAGACAGTCATCCAACAGGGTATACCGGAAAGAAAGAGGTCAAAGCTATCTCCTGCCCCAGCTAGTTCTAGGCCCTTTCCTCTCAGAGGGGCAGCAGGAAGTAAAGAAAAAGGGCTGGGATGGGAGGCGGGAGCGAGTGGGAGGGAATGGGGCTTATCAGGTCCCGGCGGGCTGCCCACTGGGCAGCAGCTGGCCCAAAGTAGCCGAGCTGAAGAGGTTCACCACAGGAAGGCAGGAGGCCGCCAACCTACTAGGCCGACAGACTCCCACGCAGGTGAGCAGAGCGCAGCAGGCTGTTGTGCTGGCCGCCAACGAGCTCTCTAGGGCGCACTGTCTTCTCTAGTGCGGGGTGGAGACTGGGCAGGCAGGCAGCCGGCCCTTTGGAGAGGTTAGTCCCAAAGAACAAGCTGATCTAAGAAGCGAGGTCTCACGCCGGGCTCTTCCCAGGGCGCTTCCATGCCTGCCTCCCACCAGAGGAACTTGAGAGGCGAAAGGACTCAGGCCATGGGAGGCAAGCCCCCAAGATCCTTCAGTGGTCTTTCTCTGAGGTATGGCCAGAAACTTCTAGAGTGGCATCTTCCTTGGAGGTGCGCGGGAATCCCCAGGAGTTCCCAGAGACCGAGCAGGAGTGCATCCCAGGGATTTGCGGCCCCTGTGCGGGTCGAGGGAAAAGAAGGCACCCGATTTCCCGTGGCGCCGTTGAATTTCTCTGCTTCCATCCTGCCAGACAGACTGTGACCCACAGCCCGAGTTGCTAAAACAACCACGGCCTCTGCTCCCGGCCCCTTCCTACCAACCGGCTGGGGCGGGTCTTCAGACCGCAGACACTAGGAGGAGATCCAGGATTAGCAGGGGGCGGGGCATTGCTGCTCCTGGAGGCCCTGGATCCTCTTAGGTCTAAATCCCAGAGTCCGCACAAATGGGCCCCCGACCGCAGCCTACTTTCAGGGATGCAGATCTAGACCGCAGCAGCCCCCAGCCAAGGCTTTGGGCTACCACAGCGCCTCCTTATGGCTCAGCCTGGAAATGCCATTCCTTGCCTCCCGGTTCCCGTTCCGTATCCTGTCTCTTTAAGGGGCTGGCTGCATCGCGGAGCTGGGAGGACTATACCACCGGCAGCAGGCTGTAGGGGGACATATTTCAAGTCGACTGGCTCTCCAAGCAGAGATTCCAGCAAAAACCACCGTCCGAAGTGGCCCCGGGCCTCAGCTAGGTGGTCATTTTCCTTGGTAGAGGACCTGGGGGCTCGTGAGCCCAAAAGGCTGCACTGGGGACAAAAAGTCGGGCACACCTTCCTGGTCGAGCCTCCCGGCCAGCCCCGAGCCCACCTCCCGGCTGAATTCTTAAAGGGCCGGAGGTCTGGGGGGCGGAGCCAACAGAGGCGCCGCGCCGGGGTCCTGCCTGGGCGTAGGGCTGGAGCGAGCTCAGCTGGGTCCGGGATGGCCGTGTCTCGCGCGAGGTGAGGGCAGGCGGTGCAAGCCTGGAAGCTCTCTCCCCGTGAGCAGGGCTCGGAATCCTCGAGGGCGCTCCCAGAGATGCAGCCTAGGACCCCACCCCACCCCCACCGGCAGGGCTCTGGCCCCACGTGCGGGGCGGGGGCGGGGTCCTGCACAAAGGCCGGGCTAGTGCTCTCCACCCCAGCGGCAAGCGCTGGGCTGCGGCGCGCATTCCGGATGGCTGTGGAGGGAAGAGCAGGCAGGTCGCTGGCTCTACCTTGGGAGGTGGCTGCGCCTTTGCCATGTCTGGTCTTCTCTAACTCTGGGAGAATGTTTTGTGTACTGTACTGAGCTCGGGCAGCCGGTAGTGGTTGCATTAGTGCCTCTCAGCTCTGCCGGGCCAGTGTTGCACGGATAGCAGCCCAGCGGCCGTGTTCCTTCCAGCTTCCTAGCTTTTGTATGAATTGTGCCTGCTTTATCCAAAAGCTATTGCTACTTCAGACCAATGGTTCTTAACGGGCTACGGACCCCTTAGCATTACTAGGGCATGCAGCTTAATTCATCCAGTTGTTAGAAGGGTCTCAAACCTAACAAATTCTTGAGGAGCCACAGGCTACCTGCACCAAGAAGAAGCCCTGTACTCTGGTAGTGAGTCTCCAGGTTGCCTTGCCCTTCTTTCTTTTTCTTTTCTTTTCTTTCTTTTTTTACCCCCCTGTGGTACCAGGGATACAACTCAAGACTTTGCGCCTGCCAGGCAGGTGCTTATGCCGCTGAGCTATCTCCCCAGCCCTTGCCTGCCTTTTGTGGTCTTGCAAACCAATTAGAGCCATGTGGACTGAACAGGCATGGGTACAGTACCCCTCACGTCTGGGCTTTTAGAGCATAGAAGGGCTTCAGATTCTCTTAACTGACTTGTTTTCTCCCACCCTTCCTTCAGTTCCTGAGCTGGTGCTGCATTTCCTGCAGTTCCCAGCATGCCGGCAGGCCTCGGCCCCACCTTCACACTGGCCCTGGTGCTGACAGTGGCGTGGGCCATGGAGCTGAAGCCCACAGTGCCACCCATCTTCACAGGCCGGCCCTTTGTGGTAGCCTGGGATGTACCCACACAGGACTGTGGCCCACGCCACAAGGTGCCACTGGACCTGAAGGCTTTCGATGTGGAGGCTTCACCCAATGAAGGGTTTGTGAACCAGAGTATCACCATTTTCTATTATGACCGGCTAGGCCTGTACCCACACTTCAATTCAGCTGGGATGTCTGTACATGGTGGTGTGCCACAGAACGGCAGCCTCCAGGAACACCTGGGGATGCTGAGGAAACCTGTGGAACACTACATTCGCACTCGGGAGCCCGCAGGACTGGCTGTCATCGACTGGGAGCACTGGCGGCCTGTGTGGGTCCGCAACTGGCAGGACAAAGATGTGTATCGCCAGTGGTCTCGCCAGCTGGTGGCTAGTCGTCACCCTAACTGGCCGAAAGACCGGATAGTCAAACAGGCACAATATGAATTTGAGTTTGCTGCGCGGCAGTTCATGCTGAAGACACTACACTACGTCAAGTCAGTCAGACCTCAGCATCTCTGGGGCTTCTACCTCTTTCCTGACTGCTACAATCATGATTACGTGCAGAACTGGGAGAGCTACACAGGCCGCTGCCCTGATGTTGAGGTGGCTCGCAATGATCAGCTGGCCTGGCTGTGGGCTGAGAGCACGGCCCTCTTTCCCTCTGTCTACCTAGATGAGACACTGGCTTCCTCTGCTCACGGCCGCAACTTTGTCAGCTTCCGTGTCCAGGAGGCCCTTCGTGTGGCCCATAGCCATCATGCCAGTCATGCACTCCCTGTCTACGTCTTCACACGACCCACCTATACCCACACCAGCAGGCTCACAGGGCTTAGTGAGGTATGTGCCTCCCAGGGTTGCGCCTTCTCCTTCCTGGGGAATACTGTATATTTGGGTTATCCACATCTATGGAGTTCACTGGCTACTCCACCTGTCTTCGAATTATCCTCTTTGTAATCTTGTGAAAGGGTGACATCAGTATTCACGCTTTGTAGATACAGTTGAGGCACAGAGATGACAAGAAGTCTGCCCAAAGCTCCTGTATATCTGGAACAGCACAGAGACCTGGACCCAGACATTGTGACTTTGGAGTCCCTTCTGGTAGATCGATATGCCATGGTCTTATGTGTGCCCTGGCTTTGGAGATTGAGGCCCAATGTGGGTTAGAAGTGGGCTTATTTAAGGAGAAAGCAAGACAGGGAGAGCCTCCACTTAGAGGCATATAGGGAGTGCTGCAGGGGGTCAACAGGTCAGCATAAGCCTGTCCACCCTTTCCTATTTCACCCTGTAGTCCCAGTTTTCTCCAGTGACAGTCCCCTTCCCACACAGATGGACCTCGTTTCTACCATCGGTGAGAGTGCAGCCCTTGGTGCAGCTGGTGTCATCCTCTGGGGCAACTCCTCAAGTATGGTAAGTGAGACCCACCCAGCCTGCCAAAACTGAGTCTACAAGGACAGGCAGAGCATTTGAACTTGTGCTCCCAAACTCGTTAGGTGTGTAAACCTAGTCTGGCTTCTTTTTCAGGCTCCCACCCAAGGTGTTGACCCTGATCTCAATAGAGGAGGGCACACCTGTGCTCTCCCAAGGAAGAGGAATGCTGTCCTTAACAGCTGTTAAGTTCCACCCTTCCCTGTCTCCGCAGCTAAGCTCTACTCTGTCCCCATCCACTTCTCAGCAGGAAGAGAGACTGAGGGCTCAGGAACACGTGTGTGTGTGTGTGTGTGTGTGTGTGTACAATATGTGTGCTGTTAAAAAATACAGTACGTGGGGCTGGTGAGATGGCTCAGTGGTCTAAAGCACCTACTTAGAACAAACTTAGCAAACACAGGGACCAAGGTTCAATCCCCCAGCACCACATGCCAGCCAGCCCCGCCCCCTGGTGGGCAGAGCTGGCCACACACACACACATAAATAAATAAATAAATAAAATGAAATAAAAAATTGTAAGCTATTATACTTTAAAAAAAAAAAATACAGTACGTGGTGAGGTGGTGCATGCCTATAATCCTAGCTCTTGGGCCGGGGAGATGGCTCAGTAAAATAAGTGCTTCCCTGGTAAGTGCAAGGGCCTGAGTTCAATCTCCGGCTCCACCAAAAAAAAAAAAAAAAAAAAAAAAAATCCTAGCTCTTAGGAAGTTAAGGCAGGAGGACTGCCACTAGTTTGAGGACCCGGACTATACAGTGATATACAGTGAGTAGAAGGCCATCCTGAACTATAAGCAGACCCTGTCTCCAAAAACAAAACCAGAAATTAAAATGGCACAGTTGGGTAAGGGGTATAGCTCAATGGCAGAATGCTTACCAAGCATACACAATGTGAACAGTTTCTGTCTGGCCTGTGGGCTGAAGCAGCTGATCCTGACCTGTTATCTCACCTCTCTTCCCAGGAGACTTGCCAGTACCTCCAGAATTACCTGACTGATCTGCTGGTTCCCTATGTAGTGAATGTGTCCTGGGCCACCCAGTACTGTAGCTGGGCCCAGTGCCATGGCCACGGGCGCTGTGTGCGCCGCAATCCCACCTCTAATACCTTCCTGCACCTCAACACCAGCAGCTTCCGCCTAGTGCCTGGAAGGACACCTGATGAACCTCAGCTGCGACCTGAGGGAGAGCTCAGCCGAGCTGACCTCAACTACCTGAGGACACACTTTCGCTGCCAGTGCTACTTGGGCTGGGGTGGTGAGCAGTGCCAGGACTATGGGCGTGCCACTGGAGGTGCCAGTGGGGGCTGGGCTGGGTCCTACCCCACCATCCTCCTGGCTCTGAAAGCCATAGCCCTTACCTGGACCTTGTAGTGGTCTCCTACCTGGCTACCAAGCCAATTGGCCTCTGCTACAAGGCTCTCCAGGGCATGAAGGAGCCTGTAGGGGTAAGACAAACTGGAAACTGGAGGGGGCAGAGCCCCCAGGATGCCCAGTAGGGCATCCATACCACCTGCCACACCCCCGTTCTATGGGGGAGGAGAAATCCTGAGAGGCCCTTTCTCTCCCTGCCAAAGGGAGGATACAGTTGGGCTGGGGAGGGCCTGACCCTACTCCCTTACCCGTGGATAGTTTATTATTATTATTATTTTGGGGTCTCTTTTGTAAATTAAATACAAAACAACTGTTTCAGTGCTTGGTCTTCTGCTTCTGAGCCAGGGCATGTGAAAAAGATCCCAGGGTCTTAAGACTGAGCTCAGATCTCTGTGAAAACCTTTCTTCTCGGAACTTTTCTCCACTCGGGCACCAAAGCTGCCCACTCTGCAGCTGTCCTGCTGGAGCAGGGGCCACTCCTCCCATACACCAAGCACCACATTTCTGGATTGCTGGGAGTAGAGTTGGGCCTAGTTTTATGAGAGGCAGAGCTCCTTGTGCTTCCACCCTCCTGCTCCCTCCCAGCTTGACAGGCCTCTCCCTTCACCTGGAGAAAAGGAAGGAGCTGCTTCATCTTCCCTGCTGTGCCTATCAACAAAGGCATCTCTGCTCTGTGGCCCCAATAGTGGTGGCTTCCTGCCACACACACCTATCCCCCACCTGGGCCACAGCCCTTTTTGAGTCTGATAGGGAAGGAGGCTGGTAAGGTTTGGGATATTCTGAGTCTCAGCCTTGTCACACTCACTATAGAGATGACAGTGGCACTGAGGGGAGGCATCCTGAGCCTGAGAACAGGGACATCCTTAGGTCAGCTTTGAGTGCTCCCTAGCATGTGGGGTGTCCCCATGTCAAACAGCCCCACCCTCAGATTTACTGATTCTGGGGAGATAAGCCACAGAAGGGTAGTGATTCAGTGGTAGGGCATGTGCCTATCATCCAAACAGAAGAGGATTGCAAGTTTGAGCCCAGCCTAGATAATTCAGCCTCTTAATGAGACCATCTCAAAAAAATAGGGCATGGGGGTTGGGCATAGTAGGCCACACCTGTAATCTCGGCAGTCAGGAGGCTAAAGCCGGAAGATGGCTGCAAATTTGAGGCCAGCCTGGACTATATAGTGAGCTCAAGACCAGTCTGAACTGCATGGCAAGACTTCGAAATCTCAAACGAATTTTTTAAAAAAAAAAATTTTTTTTTTTTAATGGCTGGAGATACAGATAAATGTAAAGGCACCCTGGGTTGAGTCCCTAGCACTGCCAGAAAAGAAAGACCGGAAGGAAGAAAGGGAAGGGAGGGAGGGGAGTGCTGAGGGCATTAAAGAATGGCCTAGGGGAAGTGTCCTCTACTGCTTTCTACAATGAGATCTAAAAGGGGAGAAGGCGGCTTGATGCCAGAGAACAAACTATGATCAAAGGCTGGAGGAAGTCAGAACACAGCTGCAACAGCAAGTTCTGGTTGCTAGGGTGTGGCTTGGGATCAGTTGTGGGCAGAGGCCAGGGGTAGCCCTGGGGCTGAATGCCTGACAGTAGCAACTGTCTCCTCCATTCAGTAAATACAGAGCACTCACCTGGGCCATGCCTGGGCTGGGTGCTGGAGAGGAGTACTGGAAACACCAACAAGACCCCTGTGCTCCTAGGAATGATAGAGGCAGGTGTACATTAGGTGATGCCAAGACCTTGTCAGATGCCAGGATTGAGAGTGCCCCTGAGAATCATGAGGGGAGCCAGCCTGAGTTACCTAGAACTACCTAGGTAGTTCTTCAGTCTGAACTACCTAGCAAAACCCGGTCATAAAAAAAGGAAGCATCACAGGATAAACAGGCCTGTTCAAACCCAGGCCAACACAGGTTGTGAAGACATCCCTTCCTGTGGGCTGTGATGGCAGAAAATGGAGAGAAGCGGGCTGGGTGGCAGCACCAGAAGTCGTGGAAATTCACATGGTGAAGAAGGAGGTGTGCATGGAATGAAGTGGTGTGGTTGCAGCTGCTCATGGGAGTGATGGAGAAAGGCCAGGCTGGAGAGAGATGACATGGTGGTCAATGCCTATAATCCTGGCACTCAGGAGGCTGAGGCAAGAAGATCACCAGATCATGGTGAGTTAAAGACTAGCCTGAGCTACATAGTGAGACCCTGCCTCAAAAAAAAAAAAAAAAAAAACCCAAAAAAAGGAGGGGGGGGGGGGGGGGCGCCCATTAGCTCAGTTGTTTAAGTGCCTGCTTAAAGGAGGCAGTCAGTTTCTTTGAGCGGTGGTTCCATTCCCACATACTCAAGGCAACCCAGACCAGCGCTGCTGCAGGTCAATGGGGAGCTCAAAAAAAAACCTGGGCTGGTGAGATGGCTCAGTGGTCTAAAGCGCCTACTTAGAATAAGCTTAGCAAAGCAAAGGGACCGCGGTTCAATCCCCCAGCACCACATGCCAGCCAGCCCCGCCCCTGGTGGGCTGAGCTGGCCACACATACACACACACACACACACACACACACACACACACACATACACACAATAAATAAATAAATAAATAAATAAATAAATAAATCAAGGGCCAGCCTGATAGCTCAGTGGACTAAAGCCCTTGCATAGGCAGAGTGCAGAGGTCAGGATTAGATCCCAACTAGCACTTGGGAGGCTGAAAATAGGAGAATCAGCTGATCTACGTAATGAGACCCTGTAGACTCTGTCCTAAATACAGAAAAAAAAAAATAGAAAAAAGATCAGGGCCAGGAAGATAGCTCAGTAGCATAAGTGCCTGCCTGGTAAGTGCAAGGTCCTGAGTTTGATCCCCAGTACAGAAAACAAAACATACAAATAAAGCCATGAGATGTTCAGAAGAGGAAGAGCAAAGAAGGAAATGTGACCTGTCCTTCCTCACATCTGTGACTTTCCACTTTTTTTTTTTTTAATGTGTTTGATTGTTATAGGATCTTGCTACACACAGCTCGAACTAATAGTGATCTTCCTGTTTTCAGCCTCCCCAGAGCTGAGATTACAGGCATGGATCATTAGACTATGCGGCTGGCTCGGCCTGCCCTGGGGGCAGGGCTGTCGAGGCATGTGGAACTGGGGATCAAACCACTGTCCCTATGCTTGTCTAAGGAGGTGCTTTAGCCTACTGAGCTATTTTGCTGGCTCTTTCTTTTCTTTCTTTCTTTTTTCCAGATAAGGTCTCACTACATAACCCAGGCTGGCCTAGAATTTGTGGTGATCCTCCTGCCTCAGTCTCCTGAGTGCTGGGGTTACAAGTATGTGCCAACATGCCTGGCTCAGCTTCCCACGCTTACGATCTCCCCCATTCATATATTATGTGTTCAACTGTGAGCTACCTTTCCCACCCCTGTAGCACCCATAGGTGACCCAGACCCATGCAGGCATGGTCCCTATATAACTGTCAGCCCCACTGGACAAAGCTCTGATCCTCACATGTATGGCCCATCATGGCTCAGCTATTCCCTTCCCGGAATATCTGTGTCTTCTCCACACCTATGAGCTCTGCTACAGGGTCATTGCTCCTGCAGCCAGTGGGCCTAGGTAGGGTTCAAGTAGCTTAGGCTCAGATACACACCTGCAGGTCCACGCAGCACTTTTGCCCTGGGCAAGGACATAGGGCTTTCCTCCCCAACTCTGGTAGGCAAGCCTGTGCTTAAGCACTTAGCAGGTCTCTACAACCAGCTTCTGAGCCAATGAACAAGTGAAACCACAAAATTAATAAGCATGTGCTCAAAGATAGACTCCCCCCCCCCCCGGAATGAGGGATTGAACTCAGGCCCTTGCGCTTGCCAGAAAAGCACTTATTCCACTGAGCCATCTCCCCAGCCCCCTCCACAAATAGACTCTTGCTCATACTGTGGTCACAGGAACATGGGATCTGTCATGTGGTCACAAGACCTCACACAAGCACAAACAGAGGCCCTGGGCCTTACACTTGCATATACAAGTCCCTGGGATTTGTGCAGAGGCCTCGATGGTCACAACTGGAGCTTCACAAAGACACCATCACTAGTCCAGAACATATACAAAGGGTGATGATACAGACTCCACTTTATGAACACAGTCCCTTTCAGAAATGGGTCTCTACAGTCAAGAGGATGGAGTCACCAGGCACTGTCAGCACAGACAGGGCCCAGGGGCACAGTACTTCTAGGGGCCCACAGAGTTGTTTTAATTTTTGTTTAGTTGGAAGAAAAAAAAAAGGATTGATAATATATAATAATGAATCCAGACTGGGTTCCTTTTTTCTCTTTCTTTCTTTCTTCTTTCTTTCTTTCTTTCTTTCTTTCTTTCTTTCTTTCTTTCTTTCTTTCTTTCTTTCTTTCATAAAGAACCCTGTGTGCTGAGCTATATCCCTGGCCCATATTTTGTTTCTTTAAGACAGTGTTGCAGTTCAGGCAGGCCCTGAACTCACTACATAGCCCAGACTGGCCTTAAACTCTCGGTGACCCTCCTTCCTCAGCTTCTAAGTGCTGAGATTACTGGCATGTACCCCCACACGTCTTATTTATATTTTTTGATACAGGTTCTCACTAAATGATTAAATTGCCCAGGGAGCTTTGTGTTTATGCTGGCATTGTAGGCATGTGTGCCACAATGCCCAATGCAGTTATAAAAATATTTAAGTACTGCACTTGCCTGGAAAGCACAAGGTCCTGAGTTCAATCCCCGGTTCCCCCCACTCCCCCCAAAAAAAGTTAAAGTACTGAAGATTGAACCCAGGACCACCATGCTGAGCTACATCCCCAGCCCTTTTTATTTTTTGAGACAGGGTCTCACTGTGTTGCTAAATTGCCCTGGTTGGGCAATTCAAATGTCCTGCCTCATCCTCTCAGAATGTTGGGATCATGGATCTGCAGCACTACACCTGGCTGAAAAATACTTTATTTTATTATTACTTTTTTATTTTTCTTTCTTTCTTTTTTTTTTTGGTTTGTTTTTTTGTTTTATTTTATGCCTGGTTGAGCCCGCCCTTGGGGCAAGGCTGATGTGGCATGTGGTGCCCACGGAGGATGGAAACTTGGTCCCTGCACACTTGCCTAAGCTTGCATAAGCAGGTGCTTTAGACCACTGAGCTATCTCACTAGCCCCTAAAATATATATTTTAAAATACTCTATCAAGTACAGTGACACATATCTATAGTCCTTCAGGAGGTTGAGGCAGGAGGATCACAAGTTCAAACCTAGCCTGAGCAATTTAGTGATTGAGATTCTCTCTCTCTCTCTCTCTCTCTCTCTCTCTCTCTCTCTCTCTCTCTCTCTGTCTCTCTGTCTCTCTCTCAATTTTAGGACATGGTGTACAGGGTGTTCAGGGTCTCAATGCGTAGCTCAGACTCCTGTTTACAGCTGGAATTACAGGCTCATGCCACCACGCCCAGTCTCAATTACCATCTCAGGCATGGCTGGCCTGGGGATCGAACTGCTGGCCTTTGCGTCTCCCTAAGCAGGCGCTTTAATCCACTGAACTATTTGGCCGACCCTGGAGATCCTATCTCAAAATAAAAATAAATACAGGGCTGGGGATGTTGTTCAGCACTCACTAACTGAATCCCTGGTACTAGAAAAAAAAAAAATACTTAAGGAAGAAGAAGTTCACAAAGACAAGAGTTCCTAGGGCAGCCCAATGTCATCCTATATTAGCCTGGAGAAAGTGCATTTTCTGAGACTATGATCCTCAAGCACCCAGACTTCAGGGTCACAGACCTACCTGCTGTCCAGCTGCCTCTGCCACCACCCAGGCCAACTGCCAGCTCCAGTCAAGCCACAAAGCCCTGCATTAATGCTGTCCCAGTGGGAGGGGCCCTCTCTGGCCCAACCCGTCCCACCCCCACAGAGGCCGGCCCTGGACTGAGTCCTGTGACTACGTGCACAAGCTCAAAATTTTCAACAGTAGCTCTTCCTCCAGAAGTTTCTAGAGCAGCTGGGGGAGTTTGTGGGACAGAATCTGGCTAGAACCTGCCTAGAATTCCACTCCCAGGTCAAGAAATTTGGAAGATGAGGGCCTTTCATCCAAAGGTCAGCAGGGATAAGGGGGTGGACTGGTGTACAGGAGGGCTGGGCTGATCTCTTGTTCCATAAACAAACTTCCTTCCAGTGGTTGCCAGTATTTCTGGTGAAAGGGACAGGAAAGGCCTTCTGGTCTCCCATCAGCTCTTCCTAGAACAGATATCCTGGCCCTGCTCCTTAGGAAAGTGGGGGTGGATAAACTTAGGGAGGAGAAGACAAACAGTAGTGCCCTGGCCCCAGAGGCAACTCAGACTTTCCCAGCAGTGACAGTGCTCCCCACCCTGTGCCTCTGCCCTCCTTGAGCCCTGCAGGTCAATGTTTTTTTTTTTATTATTATTTATTTTAATTTATTACATTTATTTATTGTGTGTGTGTGTGGCCAGCTCAGCCCACCAGGGGGCGGGGCTGGCTGCCATGTGGTGCTGGGGGATTGAACCATGGTCCCTGTGCTTTGCCAAGCTTGTTTCAAGTAGGTGCTTTAGACCACTGAGCCATCTCTCCAGCCCCTGCAGGTCAATGTTTAAATCTAGAGCAGGGATAGATTTATAAGTGAGGGGCTTGGACCACCTGCACGGAGCAGGGGTCAGAGCCTGCCCTCAGCTGTACCTCCCCTGGCTAGGTTTCCCTAGACCTACCTGGTATCATCACAGCCCATCTGCTTCAAATTTGTACCCTCTTCCTGACCTTGCTCAACATGGCCCCAAGCAACCAACCCTTCATCACAGTCTGGAATGCAGACACCCAGCGGTGCCTGGAGAGCTACAGTGTGGACGTGGACGTCAGTGTCTTTGATGTGGTAGCCAACCCTGGGCAGACCTTTCTCGGCCCTAACATGACCATTTTCTACAGCTCAAAGCTGGGTACCTACCCCTACTACACAGCCACTGGGGAGCCCGTGTTTGGTGGGTTGCCACAGAACACCAGCCTGAGCGAACATCTGGCCTATGCATTTCACGACATCCAGGCTGCCATGCCTGCTCCTGACTTCTCGGGGCTGGTGGTCATTGACTGGGAAGCATGGCGCCCACGCTGGGCCTTCAACTGGGACTCCAAGGATATTTACCGGCAGCGCTCACAAGCACTGACTCAGGCTCAACACCCTGACTGGCCCGACAGTCAGGTGAAGACAGTAGCCAGGGACCAGTTCCAGGAGGCTGCACAGGCCTGGATGGCAGGCACCCTCCAACTGGGACAGATACTGCGTCCTCGTGGCCTCTGGGGCTTCTATGGCTTCCCTGAATGCTACAATTATGACTTTAAAAGTACTAACTATACAGGCAAGTGTCCATTAGTCATCTCTACTGAGAATGACCAGCTAGGGTGGCTGTGGAACCAGAGCCGTGCCCTCTACCCCAGTATCTACATATCTGCAGCACTGATGGGCACAGGGAAGACACGGAGATATGTGCGACACCGTGTGGCTGAGGCATTCCGTGTGGCCAGGGCTGCCAGAGACCCCAGTCTACCAGTGCTGCCCTACACCCAGATCTTCTATGACACAACAAACCATCTTCTGCGCCTGGTAAGTTTTCTGTGACCCCACACATCTAATCAGCCAACCTTGTTAGTCATTAGGTCTGACAACTGAGGCTACATAACCTTGAGTTGACTTCATCCCGTCATTCTCACATTCATTGAGCATGTACTTTATGCCGAGTCCTGCACTAAGCACAGATCCATCCATTCAGCACTGGTTAGAAAGACTTAGTCCTGGTCTGTGTGGCATTTAGGGCAAGGTCAGTTGCAGGTTATAAATTATTCATCCCAGCCCATGGTATCATAGCAGTTTGCCACAGAGGAAGGAGGCCCCACAGAGTTGAACTGTTTTCTTTCCAGGAGGACTTAGAGCACACCCTGGGGGAGAGTGCAGCTCAGGGGGCAGCAGGAGTGGTGTTCTGGGTGAGCTCAAAGAATACAAATTCCAAGGTAAGCTCAGGTGGTGGGAGTGGGGCAGTGCAGGTCCAAGATGACCTGGGGCCACCCTTCCACCTCTGAAGTCCTGGCTGGCAGCATGGCAGTGCCTCAATGCCCTATGTGGGCACAAGCATGTCTGTGATATCCCTGACACTCCCCTTTCCACCCAGGAATCATGCCAGGCCATCAAGGAGTATATGGATACAACATTGGGGCCCTTCATCCTGAATGTGACTAGTGGGGCTCTTCTCTGCAGTCAAGCTCTGTGCTCTAGCCATGGCCGCTGTGCCCGCCGCCCCAGCCATCCGGAGGCTCTCCTTATCCTCAACCCTGCCAGCTTTTCCATCCAGTTCTCATCAGATGGCAAGCCCCTGACCCTGAAAGGTGCTCTCTCACTTGAAGATCAGGCACAGATGGCCATGAAGTTCAGATGTCGTTGCTACCGTGGTTGGCACGGAGCATCATGTGAGCAGCTAGTCATGTGATGATTGATTGGCCACACCAGTCTGCACACACTGAGCATCTAATGTAGTATGAGCTGGCCATGGCTTCCTCAAATGAAGACATAAGTTACTCAAATCATGGTCACTGTCAGGAATATACTCAGTCACCATCATAGGAATATGCCCTGCACATAAATGCACACTCATGGACAGGACAACCATATAAGGAGTTAGCAACAGGGCAGACCTTACCAACCCATGTTCATATGAGTCTATGTGACAGAGTCATAGACAGTTCCTGTAGAGACAGTTTTGGAACTTCAGGAAGCCCTGTGCTGAGTTTGCTAAATGGGCTAACTCTTCACAATAAGACTGAGACACCCATAGAGAGGGTGTGTACTTTTTTTTTTTTTTTTTTTTTGGCAGAACCAGGGATTGAACTCAGTCCCACTTGCCAGGCAAGTGCTTATTCTACTGAGCTATCTCCCGGGCCCCAAGGGTGTGTACTTTTTGTGAAAGGTCACGCGGCAAGAAAAACTAATATTCAAACCAAAGCTGTCCGGCTCCAGGAATAAAGTCCTTGCACACCTACTGTGTGTTGATGGTACTCTTGAATCTGCTGACAGGCACCAGCTCTGCACAATCCAGACAATAAAATTCGTTATGATTTACTTAGCTGTTTACTGAGTACTTGGAATGTGCCAGCTCGGGAATCCAAAGGACACAAGAAATTTTCGATTGTTTCTTTCACCCAAGTCAGCTTGAAAAATAAGCAGCTGGGGTGGGGGGGTATCGTGTTGCAAGGCCCACCTGATCCGGCCCTATTCAGGGGGGATTTCCATTGGAGGCTGGCGGGAGCCAGAGCCCCTACAGCACTAGAGCTGACTGAGGTGGGCTGGGGTCAGGAGGAGCCAGCGAGGCGCTGTCTGCGCCCTGTGGACACGTGACTCGCGGAAGCTGGGGCTGAACCTCAGCGGGGCCGAATCCAGGCGGAGCTGCGCAGTGACTCAGAGATCCCTAGGCGGGCCTGTGTGGAGCAACGTTGCGAGCAGGCGTTGCGAGGAGCGCGGGCAAGCTCTAGAGCGGGAGGACAGGCCAGCCACTGCGTCTGCGCGGGTTCAGTGTTGTGACGCGCGGACCCGAGGGCGAGGCCAGGACGGTGATGCCCGCGGGGGGCCGGACTGCCTAGCTGGCAGAGTTCCAGGACTGCAGTGCGTCCGCCGAGCCGCTGGGGGCCAGCGCGGGCGGGCCGAGGTGGTCGAGGCAGAGACAGCCAGATCCTGAGCCCGGCAGATCCAGGACGCGAGGTTCCAGAGTCTGCGTTGAAATGTCAGTACCACTCCCACCCTTTGCGCTACCGGCCCGTAACCCCTCCACCCCGCGCCAGCTATCCCCGAGAATCCCTGCCGCCCCTCAGTCCCCTTCTGTGTCGGTCGACCCCTGCCGCCAGCATGCTGAAGCACACCTACCCACAGTCAGGTTTTTGAAGGCTACGGCCTCCAAACCTCCACTGCTACAACGGGATGGGGAAGCCGAGGCATCAGGAAACACGGAGCCCTCCTGAGGAACTCGAGCTTCGCGCCTCCGACAGTAACTAGTGTCAGCACTGAAGGGGTTAAGTTCTGCTGTGGGGAGCCGTGGGTTCCAGACTTAGGGGCGGATCCTGGGGCTTCCTCCCTCCAGACCAAGGGGTGCTGCTGCAGCTGAGGCAGCGAAGGCAGGTGAGGAGCTTAGAGCCTTGTAAGAGGGATGTGGCAGGAGGGGAAGGGGGTGCCTGTCGCTGACTAGAGTTGCTGAGTTGTCCCCAAGATTAAAGAGTTGGGGAAGGAAAGCCAGGAGGCACTCTCCGGAGCAGGTGAGTAAAGGGATGAGGTCAAGTTGCCAACCCAATGCAAGCAATGGAGTCTTCCTATTGTGGAACCTCCTACCAACAGGACCTGGAATAAGGTCTGCAGGCAATAAGGTTTGGACACAAAAGTTCTGGGCCTCCAACATGATGACCGTTGGTAGATACCTATGTGGGTATAGGAAGGAAGCTGTGGTCTTCATCTTGGGAAACTTAGCCCAAAAGGAACTAGGCCTGCAGAAGTAACGTTCTGTGCAGCTGTAGGCCAGGCCCTGCGCTAGGGTCCCATCTTTGGGGGACAGTTGGGCCCATGCACTAAGTGTCCTAAGCTATGTAGAGTTGGAGAGGGGTCCATGGACTGTGTACCCCAAGAAGAGAATGCAGTGGAGGGAGGGAAATCTGAGGCTGATGGGTGGGTGGGTGGGGCCCCAGGATTAACTGGGCAATTGATATGCCCCAGGTTGTTGGAAAGGCTGGAGATGGAGGAGAGCTGGCATGGAGGGAGAAGGAAGGGACAAGAACTCCTGAGGACAGTATTTCCTCTGAAGAGAACCTTGGGGGTGTAAGCATGAAGCACAGTGTATGGTTTGCACCTTCTGTCAAAGGACTGCTAGAAAAAGACTATCAACAAGTGAGCTGGATAGGATGTTCTGGGAGAGTGAGATTCTAGGGATGAGATAGGGGTTAGGATCCTGAGCTCTGCCCCAATCGTCAGCCCTCACCATCACCCTCAGCCTTCCTTCAGTGTAGGGCACGATACTTGGATCCATCCACCCTGCTTTCTGAGTCCTCAGGTGTAGGGGATGAGTCTTTTCCAGGCCACCTATACCATAAGGTTAGTGTGTTTCCCAAAATTATTGAGTTCCGTATGCAACTGCATGGCTCCCCTTTCAATTGTCAGTATTTCCCTGTCCCTCTCCTGCCCTCATGGCACAACCAAGTATAGCTGTTACCACAGGAAGACAGCAGGTGTAGTCTAAGAAGATGCCACTGCCAGGAAACTTTGGCCTTAGTTTCCAGCCTGACACTGAGCCATCTGCAACCTAATAGGAGGTGTCCTTGGCTCCCAGCCTGGCTCAGCTGAGCCTGGATCGTATGTGTAGGCAAGAGGTTACTCGGAGCTCTGGAGCTCAATCAAGCTGATCCCTACTCTAGACCCTGCACACTGGATGGAGCTGATGCTGAGTACGAGCCTGGCTAAACTGACTCTGGATCTTGTATACCAGCCAGAAGTGGCCCTGGGATTCAACTTGACCACGCTAACCCTGGACCCCACACACCAACCAGAGCTGATCCTGAGCCTCAGGCTAGCTGAACTGACCCTGGAGTCCACATGCCATCCAGAGATGAACTTCAGGCCTGGTCCAGCTGAGCTTACCCTGGATCCCAAACATCAGTCAAAGGAGACCCCAGCTCCCAGTCTGGCTGAGTTGACCTTGGAGCCTGTGCACTGCAGACCTGAGCTTATGGATGCTTGTGCCGACCTCATCAATGACCAGTGGCCCCGCAGCCGTGCCTCCCGCCTACACTCCCTGGGCCAGTCCTCAGATACCTTCCCCCTATGCCTGTTGCTTCTGAGCCCTCACCCCACTTCTGACACAGCCCCCATTGTGGTGGGCCATGCTCGCCTGTCACGGGTGCTAGACCGGCCCCAGAGCCTCTTAGTAGAGACAGTGGTGGTGGCCCGGGCCCTGAGGGGCCGTGGCTTTGGCCGCCGTCTCATGGAGGGCCTGGAGGATTTTGCTCGGGCCCGAGGCTTTCGCAAACTGCACCTCACCACTCATGATCAGCTGTATTTCTATGCCCACCTGGGCTACCGTCTAGGAGAGCCTGTGCAAGGCCTGGTCTTCAGCAGCAAACGACTGCCCACCAGCCTGCTCCGTGCCTTTCCTAGAGCTTCCATTCCCCGCCCTCCCTGCATGGTTTCTAACCTGACTACCCAAGCTGCCCCAAGTAGCCCCAAGGGACCCCCATTGCCACCCCCCCCTCCCCTGCCTCAGCCTTTGAACACTTTACCTCCACCTCCAGCAGGGTCCCTTCCACAAAACCTGCTGGAGACACAATACCAAGACCTGAGGGGATGCCCCATATTCTGGATGGAAAAAGACATCTGAAGATTGAGACAAGGCACTGTTCTGGGTCACTCAACTGCTCAGTGGCCATACCTCAATCCCTAGCCCCTGGGGAAGCATGTTTCCTGGTTACTACTGGGGCCAGGAGATGGTTCTGTAGTTCTGACTCAGAGCCATTAGTATGGCTGAATAAAGGCTTCTGTTGGGTGTGGCTTTGACAATTTATTTGTTGACCCCCCCACACACACACACACTTCTTAGATTCCCATCCCTTCAGAAGCCCCCAGGTCCAGTTTGGTCTTGGGCCCTTTGATCTTTGATGGAGTGACACCTGTCTTCTGTCTCACCCTGCTAAGCTCAAGAGTGGGTCCTTTCCCTGTTCACTTATTACCATTTACTGAGTACTTTATGTATGTCAGGCCCTGGACAGGGCATAAGCAGTGGAGAATTACAGACATTTTGGGTACCTATCCAAGAGGACAGACCATCATTCAGTGGCAGGGTCTATGTTGAAATAAGGAGGTACAGAGGAGCTCGAATGCCCTCACTCCCCCTAAGGATCTAGGAAATCGCCTATAGGAGGTGATGTCACAGCAGACACCCAAGTGCTGAGTAGGAATTAAACCAGGCAAACGAGGTGAGAGCTTAGTGTTCTTGGAGTAGGGAACAGGGTGGCAGAGGAAAAGGGACTTGTGACCATTGTGAATGAAGATGTTTCAAAAACACTGGTGTTTGAAGAGATATAAAATCATGGAGAAGAGCTGCCAATACCAGTTTGGCATATGGCTGCTCTGGAGATCTATGGGACTCTTTGGATGCTATGTTTTCTCCACCCCTTATCCTTGTGGGGAGGAGCTGGGGGAGCATTCCCTGCTCTATAGAAGGTATGGCCATGGACTCAAGTTTATTCCCTCTCTCCTACAGGTTTCCATCTCAGAGGCATGATCGTGCAGCAAGGCCCAGCCCTGGTGCTGGGGGTGGCCCTATGCCTGGGGTGTGGCCAGTCTTTGCTGCAGGATCCTGAACGACCCTTCTCTGTGCTGTGGAATGTACCTTCAGCACGCTGCAAGGCTCGTTTTGGGGTGCCCTTACCACTCAGTGCTCTGGGCATCATAGCCAACCATGGCCAGCACTTCCGAGGCCAAAATGTTACCATCTTTTACAAGAACCAGTTTGGCCTCTATCCCTACCTTGGGCCCAGGGGCACAGTTCACAATGGGGGTATCCCCCAGGCTGTGTCCCTAGATCGCCATCTGGCACAGGCTGCCCACCAGATCCACCAGAGCTTAGAACCGAGGTTTGCTGGCCTGGCAGTGCTGGACTGGGAGGAGTGGTGTCCACTCTGGGCTGGAAACTGGGGCCGCCGTAAAGCTTACAAGGCAGCCTCCTGGGCTTGGGCACAGCATATGTTCCCTAACCTAGATCCTCTGGAGCAGCTCCACAAAGCCCATACAGACTTTGAGCATGCAGCCCGTGCACTGATGGAGAGCACCCTACAGCTGGGCCACGCACTGCGGCCCTATGGGCTCTGGGGTTTCTATCGATACCCAGCCTGTGGCAATGGTTGGCACCATATGACTTCCAACTACACGGGTCGCTGCCATGAAGCCACCCTGGCCCGCAACACTCAACTGCATTGGCTCTGGGCTGCCTCCAGTGCTCTCTTTCCCAGCATCTACCTTCCACCTAAGCTGCCACCTGCCTACCGCCAGACCTTTGTGCAACACCGCCTGGAGGAGGCCTTCCGTGTGGCCCTTGCTGGGTACCCACATCCTCTGCCTGTCCTTGCCTACATCCGCCTCACACACCGACACTCTGGGAAGTTCCTGTCCCAGGTAAGTAGAAGCTGAGGTCTAGTGACCTGAGTTGGATGTGGCCCTGACTTGGAAAGTCTAAGGAGAAATCCTTGCCTGGGGAATTTGAGGGGAAGGTGCTGACCTAAGGGTGCTGAGGGGAAGCCCCTATCATGGAGCATCTGACCAGAAGTATGGCTCTGCACTGAAAGGGGTAATGTCTGAAGGGAACCCTGGTCTGAGGGATCAGACTGAAAGGCCTGAGACGCCTCAGTGCAAAGAGGCACAGTGCAAAGGGCCCAACTCTATAGAATCAGATCATGGGGGGCTGGAGAGATGGCTCAGTGGTCTAAAAGCACCTACTTAGAACAAGCTTAGCAAAGCATCAGGGACCGCGGTTCAATCCCCCAGCACCACATGCCAGCCAGCCCCACCCCCTGATGGGCTGAGCT